GGTCCAGGCGGCGGCGCAGGCGACGGCGGCGGCGCGTCTGGCGGTTCATCTGCGACATGCTGTTGAAGTAGATGAGGTAGCAGAAGCCGAGCGACGAGAGGTCGAGCCACGGGTGCTGCTTCTCGTAGGCGTTCTGGATGGTGATACAGATGTCCATGTCGTAGGCCGTCCACGCGCCGCCGTCGTTCTCCCACTCCCACACGATGCCCTTGCCTGGCGCCGACGACGGGTCGTAGAAGTTTCGCCGCACAGGTCGCATGGTGCCTGTGATGGGGGAGGGGGCGTCAGCGCAGGGCAAGGCCCGCAGTTGGGTGGGGACTGCCAGCCCTGGTAGGGGTCAGGTCAGGTCAGAGGGCTGGGGGACAGAACCGGTGGAGGGGCAGGGGGACTCAGTACAGGTCCCCAGGGGCGAGTAACCAAGAGGGGGGAGTCAGCACACGCAGGGAGGGGAGGGAGGTCAGCACGGGCAGGGGACTAGGGCTCAGTACAGACTGGGGGGTCCGTCTAGGCTGGGGAGAGGGAGGCCGAAGGTCCTGCGCATGCTTCGCCAGGCAGGTGGGATGTGAAGCCGAGGACGGGGTGGGAAAGTGAGCCAAGGCTCGGCCCAGGACAGCTGGGGAAGGAAGTCAGCAAGGCCTGGGGGGCCTAGGACAGTGAGCGCCCCAGCCCCAGCCACGCCAGGCGCAGAGGTCCTGGGGGAGGAGGGCGGAGGAGGTGGGACTGCTCAGATCAGGCAGGACCCCACCAGCAGGGAGCCAGGCCAGGCGTGGAGTGGCATGCAGTTCTTGCCATGAGCTCACTCATTCACTCTCCGGGCTGGGTCATCTGCTCATCTTAGCTGGTGGATTCCGGCCCTCCTCCATTTATTCATTCCATAATTCTTTTCTTCGTTCACTCACATAGCCACGCCTCCGTCCACATAGCCACGCCTCCATCCACATAGCCACGCCTCTGTTCACATAGCCACGCCTCCGCTCACATAACCTTGCCTCCACTCACATAGCCACACCTGTTCACGTAGCCACGCCTCTGCCCACATAGCCACGCCTCCATCTACATAGCCATGCCTGTCCACGTAGCCACGCCTCCATTCACATAGCCACGCCTCCGTTCACATAGCCACGCCTCCACCCACATAGCCACGCCTCCACCCACATAGCCACGCCTCCGTTCACATAGCCACGCCTCCACCCACATAGCCACGCCTCCGTCCATGCACCCATGAGCTCCTTCCTTCATTCAGCAAATTCCGCTAGTTGGTCCACACCTGCGGCCACCCATTACGCTTCCCAGTCACACCTGCACCTATTCTGCAGCCTGAGTTCACACCTTCATCCCTGCACCAGTCACGCCTGCGGTCGCCACCTCCTGTGCACCCCACATGCTTCCTTCTCTCCTGCCCTGTTCCACTTTCTCCGTCTGATAACACTTTCCATTTTACCCGCTTATCTTGGGTTCTGTCTCCCTCTGCTAGAATGTGACCGCCCTAAGGACAGGGGCTGCCTGTCTGTGGACAGCCATATCCCTAGCACTGCTCTCAGGAGATGCGGCTGAAGGAGCGGGTGAATCCGTTCGTGGGCGCGCTGGTCCGTTTGGGTTGGGCTGTTCTTTTCCGCTTCAAACCCTGTACCCACAGCGGCCTTCTCCTTTCTCTCATCCACTTATTAATTTTTTTTCATTCATCTCTTTGTCCATTTGTCCCTTCCTTCAACAAACATTTGCTGACTTGCTGCTCTTTAGAGGGGTCTGCTGAGCGCTCCTTCGAAGCCCACGTAAGAGCGGCTGGATACCCGGCCAGGTGGGTACTAACGGGTGCCCCATTTTGTAAACTAGGGCACTGAGACTTCACTTCCAGCCAGGGACTGGTCCTCGTTTGCCGGAGCTCTGGGTACTGCCCGAGAGCAAGGCTCCATGGGACACTCTAGGTTAACCAGCGCTCACCCGAGGTCCTGGCTGCGGGACTTGGCAGAGCCTCTTTTGCTGGGATCCTTTGGCATCTGCAGAAGGAATACCCGGCCCTGAAGCCTCCCCAGGCCTCAGGGCCCCATCTTGAACGTGGGGTGATGTTAATCCATGACACACCCCTGCCCGCTCACAGAGGGCTGCTGGAAGGTGCCCTGTAGGGGTAACCCCGGGGCTGGAAGCAGAGAGCCTCATTTCAAGTCCCGACTTCCTGACCTTCCAACTCTGATCTCCACTTGCCCTGCCTGAAATCTTTGGGCTGCTCATTCTTGGACCCACAAACCTTGGACTCCTCCTGGATTTCTGCATCCACCTCCTACGTTCCACGTGTCCACAGCCCAGTCACCTGGCCTTTAAACACGTCCCTCCACACCTGACCATCCCCCCACCTCACCCACCCCACCTGTGCCAAGCCAGGCACCTCACAGCTTGGACTTTTGCAGGAGACTCATAACTAGTTTGAGCCACTGCCCTTGCCCACTGCCATCTGTCCCTGCATGGCAGCCCTGAGATCCGGCTCAGCCTGTCACATCAGCCTCGGCTTTGCTTACAATCCCCAGCGCTTTGGGCTCCCTGCGAGTAAAAGCCAAAGTCTCTGCTGTGACCTACAAAACCCCGCGCCGTCTGGCTCCGCCGTCCTCTCTGACTTATTACCTCCTGTCCCCTCTCACCGCACGCCAGCCACCCGGGCCTGCTTGCTGTCCCTAAATGTCTCAAGCACTGTCCCTCCTCAGGGCCCTTGCTTCGGTTGTCCCCTGTCTGAATGTGACCTGGCCACGGCCCGGCATTCTCAGGGCTCATTTCTCCCTCAGGTCTCGATTGAGACGTCACCGGCCTGGGAAGACCTCTCCAGGGCCCCTAATAAGTGGGCTGCCCTGGGACAGCTGCCTGGCACCTTGCTTTCTCTCTCTCCCTGGCTCTTCCCCAGGGCCTGACATGACGCGTAACCTGGGGCTCCTTCACTGTGTCCCCTCCAGCTGTCGGCTCCCAAGGTGGGGATCTCAGCTGCTCTGCTCACCTCTGCACCCCCAGCGCCCACAGCCCGAGAGCTGGGGAGACCGAGGCACAGAGCTGTGGATACACAGAGGCAGGCGGAGGTCGTCGGGAGAGTGGCCCCAGGGAATGAGGTCCCTGGGCCCCTGCCATGTTCCAGCCAATCTCAGGAAGACTCCGGCCTCCGGGCCACCCCTACCTGCTGGCTGACTTATCATTTTAATTAAGTGTGCGAGGATGGAGGATCGATTTCTCCCCTGGCGAGACTCCTTCGGGGCAGGATCGGGAGGGAGCCAACCAGTGAACATCCCCAGGCCCTCTCTCCACCTGCTCTGGTGCGGGGTGTGACAGGCAAACCCATGTCCAGAGAGCCTCATGGATCAAGCCTCATGGATCAAGGTGTTGGAGGGGACAGGAAGAGATGGGGACCACGCTATCAAGCCCCGAGCTATCAGGGAGGGTGGAGGCTGTGTGTGTGGGGGGGAGAAGCAGCTCAGAAGCCTCAGAGGTACAAACCTGGGTTCCACACAGAGCAGCGTCCTTATCTGTAAAGTGGGGGTGTTCATACCTTCCCCCAAAGAATTCCCGGGAGACAAGAAGAAAGTACTTAGAAGAGCGCTCTGCCACGTGTGATCACATGACGGTCATCACACACAGCCCCCCCCACCTGTTCATCACCAGGGTCCTCTGCAGGCCCACCCCCTCTAGCAAGCCTTCCAGGGTCTCCCGCCATTGTTGGTAAAGCAGCTTTTGAACACTCTTTGCACCCACTTTAGTTGTTTTTGTTCTTATTCACGACTCAGACCTAAAGCCTGGAGCAGAGGAGGAGCTTGGGGTCCGAGGGAGTGGGGAGTGGACCTACAGCTGAGGAGCCCGAGGGCCCAAAGCTGGGTGCAGCCCCTCTGCAGCCAGGCCCCAGCCAGGCCCCGCGGGCTGCTCTGGCCGCCAGCCCAGGCCTCCCTCTCTCCGGGCTCGTCCACCAGCCATCGATTGCCTGCCTGTTTACTGGTAGTTATTAAGGGCTGTGTCCCTGGGGCCCTTTTGAAACCAGATTGGAACCTGGAGAGCGGAGTAATTAGGGCGGCTGATGCCCTCCCCACTGGGCCTCACCCCGCTGGGCCTCGGCCGCTGCCTGCCCCTCATCCAGCTCTCCTGCCCTTGGCCGGCTGAGGACCAGAGGACCAGGCTGGGGGGAGCTGGCGCCCTGGTGACCTGCCTGGACTTGGATCTGGAGATTTCCAAGGGAGCGGAGCTGGAAACCCAAAGGCTCCTCTGCAGTGGCCTTGGCCTAGATTTACGGACAGAACAACGGCCTAAGACGAGGCTGGAGAGGAGGACGGGCACGGCCTTGGGCTGGTGGCCTGAGGCTCGACTGGTCCTTCCAGTCATCCTGTGGGTGTCCTTGAGTGGCCCCCAGTACCTTCCAGCCTCCAGGACACCCGATCCACAAGGAGCTACATCCGCACTCAGGGACAGCGGTGTCCAGCGCCCCCTTCGCAGGCCCCGTCTCCCTGCGCCTGCCTTTGAAGTCACTCCCTCCTTCCTCCTTGGGTTTGAAGAATGTTTGGTGGAAAAATTCCACCCTCATTCCAGCTGAACCCGGGGAGGGGCGAGGGCTTTGGTCAAGTGTCAGTGGGAGGACTTGGGGCTGGCCCCCGGGGACAGGGGTGTGGGCGGCAGGCAGACAGGGAGGGAGTGTGGATCAGAGACGGAAGAGTTTGAGGATGAAGAGAAAGGAAAACAGGAAACCCAGAGGCCCAGACAGGAGGCTGAGGGGCAGCCAGAGGCGGAGGCCAAGAGGGCAGAGGTAGGAAGGCCACAGCAACGATGCCAGAGCGGCCTCGCTGAGCCCCTACTATGTGCCATCTCACCCCGCCTGGATCATTCCCATTTTACAGATGAGGAAACTGAGGTCCAGAGGGGGAGGTCTTGGGAGGGTGAGGGCCGAGGGCTGGGAACAGTGATCCGCCATGAAGGGGAAGCCGGGCTGCACTGGTCTCTGAGGGGTTCGGCTGAGCCTGGTGCTAGCCCAGGTACCCCCACGGCAGGGAGCCCCCTCCCTCAGCTGGCCTGCAGTGGTCAGCAGGGCGAGGTTCCTGCCCTGGCTACTCAGTCTCCATCTGACCCCCCACACCTCGAGGAGGGGAGCGGGCCTCGGCTCCCCCTTGGTCTGAAGAGGAAGCCAGTGGGTCCATGGGGAGGGGGAGGCCCTGAGCCCCCACCACCTGCCCCTTGGCCTCCCAACTGTTTCTCCCCGTCTGGGCCAGCCTCGGCCACAGGGTCCCCTCCCTCTGGGGGTGGCTTCCAGGAGGGAAGTGATCTCGGTCAGGGTCACCCAGACCCTGGGGGGAAGGGGGCCGAGGGAGGTGGTCATGGGACATCCTGTCAGGTGACGGGGCCCATGGCCGGGAGCGTGCCTGAGGTCCCCACATGCCAGGCCCCACGCTGGCCGGGTTCCAGGAGCTCCCAGGGGCCTGTGAGGTAGCCGTCACCTCAGTCAGACCCCAGGAGGCAGGGCATGGGGGGGGGGATTTAGGGACATACCCAGGGCCACTTGCAGGTGGCTGGTCTGACCGGAGCCCAGAGCTCAGTGGCCGCTACCCTCCTGGGTGCGCTCATGCGCCCATGCTCTGGAGGGGGACACTGAGGCCAGAGGTGGTGTGGCAGCAGGGCTCTCTCCAGCCCCAGATGGATGGTGATGGCCTTGGGGACGGTGGCCTCTCCCTCTGGCCTGGCTGGTATCTGGGGGTGCCAAGGCCTCTCCCAACAGCACCCCTGCCCTGGGGAGCCGTGCTCTCCCTCCATCGTGACGGCTGTGAGGCCTGTGGCCGCTGTGCCCGCAGCCCGCGATCAATAATCCCGCGATCAATAATCCCGCGGTGGCCTTTAGTTGCGTTACGGTCCCCCAGGGCTTGTCACACGAAGCCGAGGCCCATTAGCGGCTTCTGCTTGGGATGCTCCCCTGCTCCCCAGGGGCTGCCAGCCAGGCGGGGCGGTGGGGAGGGGCGGTGGAGGGGATGGCGTCCCAGCCCACCTGGGGGACGCCGCAGGGTCGCCTGTTCTCAGAGCGGCCTCTCCTGGGAGGCTGGGTGTGCCCAAGGGCCAGGGTGGGGGCTTCCTGGCACCCAGATCTCCACACACTGGATTCTGATGTCCTGGCACAGCGGCGACAGGTCAGAGTGGGACAGAGATGGGGAGGGGACGGAAGGGAAAGACTGTTCTCTCCTGCCCCAGCCCTCCTAGCTGCTCCTTACTGCCCGTGCGACGGCCGCAAACATTAATCCTGAGGAGTCCTCACAGAGGGCTCACTTTTAATGTTGTTTTGTACAAAAGCTGAGTGAAACACAGAGAGGGAAAGTGACTTGCCCAGAGTCACACAGCCACCTCGCTGCTGCGCCAGGAGTGGGCTCAGCCAGGGGCTGGACTTCTCTTTACTTCCACCCTCTGACCGCTCAGACCACTGCAGTTGCCCAGCTCGCGCCCCTTCACCCTGTGATGTGGTCTAACATGGCGGCCAGAGGGTCTTCCACAAACCCAAGTCTAACTGTGGAATTCCTTGGCTTGATACCCATCAGTGGCTCCCAAGTGTCCTGGTGACCAGCTCAGCTCCCTAGCTCAGCCCTCGAGGTCCCCCGCCCGCTGTCTGCACGGGCTGGCACTGTAATCACACCTGGACCCCAGCTGTTCCCTCAGGGCACCGTGTGGCTGTGCCTCTGGGTGTCTGCGCCTGCTGTTCCCTCTGGGTAGAATGCTCTTCCACCCCCGTCCCCCATTTCCCACTCGGTCTTCCTGGCTCAGCACAAGCACTCTGTCCTCCCCTCGGCCATCCTTAGGGGGCATCGCTCCCCCGCTCCTCGGGGCTCCCACTGAACCTGGCCCCTGCAGCAGCCCAAGAAGGCACGAGGCTCGGGAGGGTGGGGGGTCTGTCTTCCCTCGGGTCCTGTGGCCCCTCCAAGGCCGGTGGCCTCAGCCTGGGGGAGTGACATGGACAAATTACTGAGCACCTACTGCATACCTGGTCCAGGAGAGGCAGAGAGTTGGAAACCTCCCCCTCCCTCTCCCCGCCCACCCTGCTGCCCACGGCCCAGGCGGGGAAGGGGCCAGGAACAGGGGCCCAGAGGGAGAAACCTGGCCCAGGCCACCAAGCCCATTAGAGATGGATCTCGAACCCGGGCCTCCCCACGGCCACTAGGGGCCACCAGGGGCCTACCGCCTCGGCATGAGTGAACCTCGACCCCAAGAACAGAGGCACGGGGGCGGGGCAGCGCTCCCCCCAGCCCTGGGCCAGGACTTGGGTAGACCCTGGGTCCCCCGTGCCCCTGTGGGAGGGGGACTCGGCAGTGGCTCAGGAGGAGGCCACTCGGCTGGGGCTGGGCTGGGACCGTCCCGGCTGCCTCTCTTGATGGCCTGGTCCTTGGTTCTGGACTCAGGGTGCTGGGCTCTGGGTCCCGCTGCCAGCCTCCCCTGCACCCCGTCACCATCTGCCACGGCAGCCTGGGCAGAGGGAGGTGGCAGCCTGCAGTAGCTCCAGAGGGACCGTGGAGGAGCCCAGAGAGGGACAGGCCCTTGGCCAGGGTGACACAGCAAGGGCACAGCCGTGTGGGACCTGCAGGAGACAGTCCCCCGCCTCGCCGCTCCTGGGGCCCCGGGGTTGGAAACGGCTCCATTCCCCGGGGACTCCCTTGGTGCCTGGCTTCCTGCATCGCCCCGTCACCCACCAGCACAGCGGTGCCCACCTGTCTCTTGTGGCATTCCTAGGTCTGGGGCCGGGGCTGGCACACAGTAGGTGCTCACTGAACTCCTGTTGGCTGAACGCTAGCTGCAAGGCCACAGGATGGGGTGTGGTTGGGTCCATATTCCAGGTAACGGAGGCTCTGGGAGGGAACGTGGGTCACCGCCCATCACAGGTACCCCCTGCCCACCCCCGCCCCCTCCCTAGCCAGTGGCCAGCAAGAGGACCCAGAGTCTGACCCTCCTCGCCAGCAAGACCCCCTCAGGCACCCTGTCCCAGGGTTTGGCCCCCATCCCACTCCAGCCTCAGCCCCTTCTCTACTCTCCTCCTGTCCCCTCCCTCATCTCTTGGGCAGACTCCACAGCTCCCTGGGAAAGAAGAGGCTGCGGAGGGAGGCTGGGGGAAGAGGCTCCTCAGCCTCTTGGGGATGAGGGATGAGGCTGGGGGAAGAGGCTGGAGGCTGGGGCTGGGGAAGAGGCTGGGGTGTGGCTGGGGGCGAGGCTGGGGGCAGGTGAAGGAGGAGAAGATGGGCGCTGAGAGGAGCCAGAAAGGGCGGTGACCCAGAATCCACCCCACTCACAGCCTGGCAGGTCCCCGTGGCGCTGTCCAAGGTACCGGGCACAGGGGGAGCTGGCGAGGGGCTGTCCCCTGAGCTGTGGCCCTGGGTGTGCATCTGGGACTCACCGTGGGGCCTGCCCGGCAGGCCGCGGTCCCCGCCTGTGTCCCTGCGTCACTGTGCGAGACGGGGGGGAGCCTGTCAGCCCCCCTCCACCTGCGCCAGGCCCGTGATGCAGCAGGCTGGTCCTGCAGTGTGGCGCTGGGTCCCCAGGGCCTGGCCGCTAAAGGGCAGCAGCTGGCAGCCTCGCCTGCCAGGTCTCGTGGGTCCCAGGAGGCCGCCTCTCCCCGGCCTCCATCACGCGCCCTCTGACCCAGGCCTCTGCTCTCCGCAGGATGCTCTGGTGCTGTTCCCTCCCCTGGGAGCTCCTCTCTCGTTCTACCCACTGAAGCCCTCACCCTCGCGCCCAGGGGTCCTCCTACAGGAAGGCCATTCAGCCCCCGAGCTCAAGACCACCAGACCTCTCCAATGAGGAGAGGTCCTCCTCCCCTAGCAGGAGTGTGTGCACGCTTCTCACACTATCTCATTTAATCCTCACTGCCACCCTCTTGAGTAGGGACTGTTCTTATCTCCATTTTACACAGGAGGAAATTGATGCTCAGAGAGGTTTAGTGCCTTGCCCACAGTCACACAGCCAGCAAGGGGCCAGGTTGGAATTCGGGTCTTTATTTGCTGGCCTCACAGGTCAGAGGGTTCAAATGCTCTTCCTGGCTCTATTTGTCTTTATCTCCATTAAACTCTGAAATTGACTTAATGTTCCTGGACTCTGAAGATCCTGGCCCAAGACCCTGCCCAGGGTACTGAGCAGGCACCAATGACTTTTAACTGGACGTGATGATGGACTTGTATCAACAGAGGCTCCCAGAACTGGACGAGCGGCCGCGGGCCAAATGGACAGGCCTGACATGGGGGGACATAGGCATTGTGATCGTGTGGCGGGAGGTGCCCAACTATTAGCTGGATCCATGGCCACCAGGAGCCGGACTCTCCCTGCCCACCCCCCACCAGTCCTGGTTCCTCCCAAATTGCCTGCAGAGGGTCCCCAGGGGTCCTGTACCAGGGAGCTGGGCCCGGGGGCCCCAGGGTAGCTCTGGCTGTGCCTGCCTTGGTTCACAGCCTGACAGCCCCAGAGAATTCCGAAGGCATGAGCAGAAGGGGCTCTTTCAACCTTGGCGTCAATGGCACCTGCCTTCTGTCCTGGGGGACTGTCTGGGAA